GCTGCTGCTGCTGCTGCTGCTGCTGCTGCTGTGGCTTAGTAACAGGGGTTGTATGTTGGGTGTTTCTGCTGCTGCTGCATAGCCTGCTGTTTCTGTGCTTTTCTTGCGCAGCTGCTGCAGGCCGGCTGTACATGCGGGCGCTGAGCGGCAGCAGACAACGAAAGTCCGTGCGGCGCGATGCGCTGCTGCATCAGTGTTGGGTTAACCCCTGCTTGCCGCTAGACAAGGAGCAGCAGCGGCAGCAGGATATGGAGGTGGAGGAGCAGCAAGATGCTGCTGCAGAAGAGTGTAGGCTGCTGCTGCTGCAGCAGCGCGTCGCGGAGACGCACGTCGAAATCCCAGCGGGCGACGGTGCTCTGTTGCCACGGCAAGAGGATGCCAATACAGAAGCAGCAGCAGCAGCAGCAGCAGCAACAGCAGCAGATGCTGCTGTTGCTGCTGATGCCTCTCCAGATGTTTCTGCTACTTGTCCAGACGATTCAGAAGAGGGCGCTGCTGCGGTCAAGCGGGTGGAAACGGTGCTGCCGGATGAAGAAGCAGCAGCAGCAACAGCAGCAGCAGATGCAGCAGCAGATGCATCAGAGATGCGTGCTGCTGCATCACAAGAAGCAACGAGAGGGAGTGATGCAGGCTTAAGCAGCAGCAGCAATAGCAGCTGTTGCAGCAATAGCAGCGGCAGCAGAGACGACAACAACAGCAACAGCAGCAGCAGCAGCAGCAGCAGCAGCAGCACGCCGGAACCAGCTGATGCGGGGACCCCATCACCAGCCTCAAAGGACTGCAGCAAGGCTGCCTCTGACTCACCCGTCTCAGCAGCAGCAGCAGCAGCAGCACAGGCAGAAGCATCGATGCAGCAACGCGTGCCTGTTCCCCTCGTCCGCATCCTAACAACACAACCCTTCAGGGTTTTCGATGCTTCAGTTTTCTGCCCCACAGCTACAGTGCCCAGCAGGGGTAGAGGCCGCAGGGGAGCAGCAGCAGCAGCCAGGCGTCTGCTGCAGCAGCAGCAGCACGAGGAGGATATGCTGCACGGCCCCCCTGTCCGTGGCTCCCGCGGTGCTCGTGGTCGGGGTAGGGGGGCAGCGGCAGCAGCAGCAGCAGCTGCAGCAGCAGCAGCAGCAGCTGCTGCTGCTGCTGAAGCTGAAGGAGGCGGGATAGGAGGACGAGCTGCTGCTGCTGCAACAACTGAGCAGCAGCAGGAGGAAGCGTTTCGGTTTCTGCAGGAGGAGCAGCAGCAGATGGCCGAGACTGTTGCTGATTGGGTTACAGATTTCAATTGTCTTGACCAAGAGCTTGTATATGAGTACATGTATGCTGATCGTCGTCTGCAGCAGCAGCAGCAGCAGCAGTTGCTGCTGCCAGCGCAACTCCGTGCTGCAGCAGGAGATCTATCAGGGCAGCAGCCGGAGCCATGCTCCCTCCAGGCTGTGCAGCAGCAGCAGCGGCTGCTGCAGCAGCAATCTATCTGGCGGCGGGAGGGATTTGAATCTGTTGCAGCAGCTAAGAGAGCTACTGCTGCTGTTGCGGAGCAGCGAGCAGAC